TGAACACGGGGAGAACTATCCAGAATTATCACGTTGGGCACTCTAGATTAATTCCTTCTAACTTTGAAAATTGTCATGACTGAAAGTATAACGATAATTGACAGTCATCATGATCAAACTAGACCTCATTTAAAATCTTAACAAAGTAATGAGTGTAAGACATCGTATGACGTAACTAAATTACGGTGATAAATCCACTGTTTGCTGTCTCGAACGAAATGAGCCATTTCTTCAGATTTTTGTTGTGCCATCGTATACTTATTATTGTATTCTTATGACGATCGATATTTGGTCGATTGAAGGAGTATAAAAAGTAGTTTTTAGCAGTTGGAATGACGGATTTCTGTACACTTTCTTGATTGGGCCGTTTCTTGCGCCCTGCTTTTCATGAAGTTAATAGTAGGCGCTGATCTACGCTTTCATGCATCAGTCAGCAGTGCTTTATGTTAAAGGCATAGTCCACAGCAGCTATATCACAAGCAGTGTATAGTCGCCTGTTTCTTTCTTATAGAGTTGTACGCAGTCCCACAGACATATGCGGCATGAAGCGTTCACTTTATGGCTGCACTTCGCCCTGACAAAAAATTTAGTTCGTGTGTTAAATGACCAAAAAATCATCGCAACATGAATGGTAAAAAATAATTAAAAAATGCACTTAATATTTAAATGATCTTGATTTTGTCTCTACCTTTTAGCTTGTCCGGCATGGGTTTACGGTCCGCTTATGTAGCTAGCAGGATTTGCAGGGTTACTCGTATGCGAGGCCCCCATCCTTTCCGCTCATTGTGTCACGATGGTTTTTCAACGTCTGATTCTACCTTCCCTCGGTCTGAAAGAAGTGGATACCTTGGGAAAACAGTGGATGGATGATTCCACTGAAGTTGCCTTGTTGAAGGTTCTCATTTCAGTTTATTTGCAATTTCTTGCAGTTGAATTTTTTCATTGCTGTGTTTTCTGCGTAATAAAACAGAATTATATCTAACTAGATCATATGTTTAATCTATTTCAATCATCTAGCAACTGCTTGCTGTTTTCACTCAATATTTGG